TCCCACTGTTATGAACTGTTGAGGAAAAAAACAAAACAAAATAACCAAATTATATCATGTACAGGTACAACGAATTCTCTATGCTGAATGTGGTATATCTAAAATATACCAGTTAAAATCTGATTTAAAAATGATTTGGTGATTTGGTGAATGTATAGATTTTAAAAAAATTATTACAGTAAAAGACATTGCCTTTTACTTCGCTAGCATACTTGTCCCATTGTTCTTTTTTTGAGCCAGGATCTAGTTATGTAGCCCAGGCTAGCCTTGAATTTATGAGCTTCCTGCCTCAGCCTCCTGCGCACTGGGATTATAGGCCACCATGCTCAGCTCTTGCCACTTTCTGAAGCAGCTCTGGAAGTCCTCTTTCATGAGTGTCTTTAGTTGCATTATGGTGGCTGCTTTGGTGTCTCAAATTGATTCAGAACAATTACTTTTCATGGGCTTTTTGACTAAGAAAGACCCAGAAGTTGCGTGGTGCCGGATCTGGTAAATAAGGTGGGTGAGGACAGCTGTAATGTTTTTGTGAGCCTGCCTTTCTATTGGATGACACTTTGGAAGGGCACTTATCAAAAAGGACACCTTTATGCCGGTCATCGAGGCATATGACTGTAATTCCAGCCCTGGGAGGCAGAGGCAGGAAGGTCATTGAGAGCCTGAGACCAGTCAAAGTGAGCTCAAGGCCAAGCCGAACTGCACTAGACCCTATCTCAAAAAGACAAAAAAAAAACCCAAAAAACATAACAAAAAAAACTACACCTTTCTGTTGATCACACCTTGTAAGGCATTCACCAAAGAAGGACTTTCAGAACTGCTTCAAAATGTGGCAAGAAGGATGGATAAGTGTGCAAAGTGAGGGGAGTATGAGGGGGAGTCGTGACAATGTCTTTTACTATGATAATATTTTTAAAATTTAAATACCCCATAGTTTTAGTCAACCTATGTATGTATGCACAGCTTGGATCAACTTGGAAACATGCTGTTGGCCATGGCGGTGCACATGGGAGGCTGAAGCAGGAGGCTCACTGAAAGTTAAAGGTCATCCTGTGCTACATAGTGAGTTCAAGACCAGCCTGAACTACAAAGTGAGACCCTGTCTCAAAAAACAAAAAATTAATAAAGCAACAAATTATGCTAAGTGAAAGGAACCAGTTGTAGAGGTCATATATTATGGGATTTTTTTTTATCCCAGAAACCAAACTCAGGACCTCATGCTTGCCAGACAGGAGCCGTGCCTCTGAACTGTACCCCCAGCTCTGATCATATATTATGGTATGTGCTTTTGTATGTTCTGTCCTTTTGTATGTTCTGTCCGGAGTGGCAGATTGAAAGAGACAGGAAACAAATTAGACAATACCAGGGGATGGGGAGTGATTATTTATGCAGTGGCTGTGGAGTGTTTTGTGGGGTGATGAAAAGGTTTGGGGACTAAAGAAGACTAGGACCTCACAACACTGTGAATTTGCTAAGTACTGCTGGACCATACACTTGATTTATTTATTTTTTTAATTTTATTTAAGGAGAAAAAGAAAAAAAAAAGCAGAGAAAGGGTACAAGTTATACAGATTTACAGAAAAATAATAAACAGTAGGAAATCACTAGTTAATGGATTCCATATTGTCATCTTAGAAATAGTTGTTCAAGTTACAAAATTAAAACTTATAAAGTGAACATTCCAACAGTGAGACTGCAAACAGTTCTGTTCAATGATCCAACAAAACTCAGTAATATCATTATCTATCTTATACACTTAAATATACATGCAATTATATCGTTTAGAGCACTTTCTTTTCCTCTCTTTTGTACAATGACAATTATACATTTTGGGTTTTGTTGCTCCCACAGTTCTTATTACTATTTTGGAAGAGAGTAAAACCAAATGTGATATAACAGAACAGAGTCGGTCAAATCAAAAGGGTGGACATAATAGATAATGTAAAAACATAATACAAGGTGATCAACAATGGTTACCATAATGCCTCCTGCTATCTCTAATAGAATTGCCTATATCATCAATTATAATAAAATTGAACAAACAGTAAAGAACGAAACCAACAAAACCAAAACATTGGAGACATTATGGGTCTTCAAGAGTAGATAATAGTCAACCAGAATGGGCATTATAATGAATCCCACTATCTTCACAGCTGTTGCCTAAACTTTCGAACCTGGTACTATCAAGCAAAACAGAATAGAGGAACATCAGTCAAAACAAGATGGTGAGAGCAATACAGGGCTTTAAATCAAGATAATGGAAAGTCAAAGTGGGTTACTATAATATATCCTGCTATTTTTAAATTTATTTTTCCCTTAAAAGGATAAAAATTAAAAAGTAAATAATAAAGTGGAGATTGAGATAAAAGAGGGCATAACAGCGAAACAGTGCAGATCAAAACATAACCATTTAAGCAAAATAGTGTTTCACCACAAGATAATCCTGACATAAAAGTAGTTACCATATTGTCTCTTTCCTTGATATCTTTGAGTATAACTTCGTATACTGTAGCATCAAATATATCAAAACAATGTAAAACCATTTAAGAGAATGACTATTACAGGGTATTTAGAATCAACTAACAGAAAATGAACAATGGTTTCTGTATAATCTCCTTGTCTATAAAAGTTTTTGTTTATACTATCACATATAATAAAATCCAGTAAGATACAACCTGTTTAGACCAATAGAGACAGAAGAACAAAAGCTTGATGAGACTTCAAAACAAGATGATACTAAATCAGTATTACCTATTATGACGTCATTTTCTCCAAAATAGCTGTTCCTATCATCCAATCTTCTCTGCCTCATTTCTGTTGAGCTCTTTTTCTGTCATTAGTTGTCAGTTTGTCTTCTTCATTTTGTTTTCTGCTCCATTCATTGTGGCCTCTCTGCCACTATTTCTGGATTCTTCATATTTTTCTTTTTTAGAATATCCTGCAGTATTCTCTGTAGAGTTGAATTGGTGGTTGCATATTCCCCTAGTTCCTCTTTATCCTGGAAGCACCTTGTTTCCCCATCAATTTCCAGGGATAGTTGTGCAGGATATATCAATCTTGGCTGGAGATTATTATCTTTCAAAGCTTGAATTATTTCCCCCCACGCTCTTCGTGATTTGATGGTTTGTGCCGAGAGGTCTGCTGTAATTCTGATGGGTGTTCCCTTGTAAGTGATCTGTTTCTTGTCTCTGACGGCTTTTAATATTCTGTTCTTGTATTGGATTTCTGGAATTTTGATTATTATATGCCTGGGTGTAGCTCTGTTTGGGTTGTAGGTTGCTGGAATCCTGTATGCTTCATACAACTGAGTATCTTTACCTTTTGCTAAATTAGGAAAATTCTCCTGGATTATTTCTGTGAGTAGCTTTTGTAGTTCATTTGTTTGTGTCCCTACTTCTTCTTTTATGTTCTTAATTCTTAAGTTATAGATCCTCTTATCATCTTCTAGTCTTTGTATTATTGCTGTTTGTTTCTTTGTTATTTTTAAGAAGTTTTTCATTTCATGCTCCCATATTACAAATCTGTCCTCCAATTCAGATAATCTGTCCTTAGTTTCTTTCAAGCTGTTATGCCAGTTTTCGATAGAGTTTTTAGTTTCCTGGTAATCTCTTTGAACCTGCTTCACGTATTCTATGCTTTCTCTATTTTCTCCATCAAACAATTATCCCCTCTTTTGCTATTCTTCCATTCCACCATCTGTTTTTTCTTGGGTGGTGCTTAGCATTTCTCTAACTATTCTGCTTATGTCTAGCTTCAGGTCATTAGTAACTTCATTCCTGAACTCGTCTATGAGGCTCTGGAGATAGCACTTTATATCTATTGGTGCTGTGTCTGCTATTGCCTCTTTCTCGGGATTGGGGGCCGAAGGGCCTTTCTTGTTGCTCCCTCTTCCCATATTCTTTGTTCCTTATATATGCAAGCCTATATAGGAGGCCCAGCTTCCTTCCCTGTCAGCCACAGTCTGGCTAGGTGTTCCCACCCACCGCAGTGTACCAGGAAGTTGCAGACTGGGCAGCCTATGCAGGGCCCGCCACTCCAGGTCAACCTACCTTCAGGCGCTGGGACCTGGGTTGTGCTAGCCTACTGGGTCTCAGCCAGCAGCGTCACTTAGGCTAGGCACTGCTCACCAGTCCTGCTTGAGAGGGGGATACGTGACTGAAGTCACTACAGCACCCTCTTCCCACAAGTCTGCCCGGTCCCAGAATGTCCTCTGTTGGAGTCTCCTAGACCTTGGAAGAGTCCCAGTTTCTCTCACTCACCGCAGATCGATGCACAGCTCCCTGCTGAGCCAATGTAGACGCAGCAGCGGTGGCGGGAAACCCAAATCGCGGCTTCCAATGGCACAGGCTCCAGCTTCCACACTGAGGCTTTTCTGTTCCTGTTATAACACAGGATTGCATTCCCAGTTGGTTTCTCTCAGCCCAGTTCTTTCTTGGGTCAGCAGGTCATGTCTCCTCTTGCCTATGATTCCTTACTCCGCACCATTCCTGAATTCTAAGCCGGGTCTTTAAGAGAGCCTCCGTAGCTGCTGCTATCTGTCTGCCATGTTCTCCCGGAAGTCTCTGGACCATACACTTTAAAGCAGTAAATTGTAGGTTAGATGAATTTCACTTCAGTTATAGAAATAAGAATTCTTAAGTTATACAGAGTTTGCATTTGGGTTTCCTAGACACCAGTATTAAAATGCATGGAGTGATGATGCCAGAAAAGAGTGACCGTGTTGGGTGCAGCAACTCCATTGTCTGAATGGCTCCATGTTTTTCATTCACTGGTTGGCAGAATTTATTCCTGTTTTGTCATCTTTTTATCTTTTTGAGACAGGTCTCACTATGTAGTGCAGGCTGGTCTTGAACTCACTTGTGTAGCTCAGGGTGACCTTGAATTCCCGGCCATCCTCCTGCCTCAGCCTCCTGGATGCTAGGATTACAGGCTTGTGCCACCATTCCTGGCTTTTGCCATTACTTTTGTATGGACTGAGTTTCCTATTTCTTTCCTTTTGGTAACAGGATCGGGGAGTCGACAGCTCCGTTTTCCAGAATCCCAAAAAGCTTCACCTCACGATTGGGATGTTGGTGCTTCTGAGTGAGCAAGAGATCCAGCAGACTTGTGAGCTGCTCCAGCGCTGTAAGGAGGAATTCATTAAGTGAGTGAGCTGAAGGCAAGGCATAAATGCAGGGTGGAGAAGGGGAGCTACTCAGCCTGGCTTTGTTTTGGTAGCTTAGTTTTGGACCAGGCAGCTGCATGACATGAGAGCAAGGTTTGTTAACACCCATTTATAGTATTAACATCAGACCACTGTCTGAAGATTGAAAATGGTTTTAGAGCACATATTTACAAACTTGTATGGACCCTGCCTAAATCTTATTTCTTTAGTCGGCACATTTTTTAAAAATTTTATTTTATTTTAAAAAAAGATTAAGATAAAAGAGGACATAACAACACAGGTCAGAACAGAACAATTTAAACAACATAGTGTTTCACCACAAGACAACACATTTTGTCTTTAAATGGAACATCCCATCATTTTTTTCAAAATAATACATTAGTGGCTTAAAACAACTGCATTGAGTGGCTTAAAACAACACAAATTTATTATCTGTGGGTCAGAAGGTTTATATAGGTTTCTTTTAACGTTAATTTTTTTAATGTTTTATTCATTTTCATAAGTAAAATGTTCTTCATTGTGGTTGTCCTAAAATGAAGTATCCCATCCACAGATTCTCTTTTTTTTTGTCTTTTTCCTTTTTATTGGTACCGGGGATCGAACTCATGACTGCCTGCTTCCAAGGCAGGCACTTATGCCGCTGAGCTAAACCTCCAGCCCCCACAGATTCTCAAATACAGAGCAGAACTGGACATAGCCCTTCCATGAGGACAAGATCATGTAGGCTGAGGTTGAAACTCTCTCTTTCATAATTTTTATTTATTTATTTATTTTTGGTGCTGGGGATAGAACTCACAACCTTGTGCTTGCCAGGCAGGCGTTTATGACACTCAGCTAAATCCCCAGCCTCGAAAATCTCCCTTTCAGAAGCTGTGTTCAGTTGTGCCTGTTGCTCTTTCTAGTCATGCAGGGCACCATTTTTTTTTTTTTTAATTTTAAAGAGAATAAAACTAAGCAAAATAAAACAGAATAAAGTCAATCAAAACAAAACAGTGTAAGTGATGCAGGATTTCAACACAAGACAATAGAAAATCAACAGTCGCTACCACAATGCTTCTTGTCTTCAAAATAGTTGCACAAACCACCCAACATAGTAAAATCAAACAAAACAGAATAGAACCAATAAAAACAAAATAATGAATGTAATACAGATCTTCAAAACAAGATAATAGTAAATCCAAAATGGCTACCATTGTTATTTTTGAAATAGCTGCCCATGCCATCAGATATAATAAAATCAAACAAGGCAAAACAGACTAAAACCAAACCGAACAATGAAAATGATACAGGACTTTAAAACAAAATAATAGGGAATTAACAGTGGCTACCACCTTCAGAAGGAGATTCCCCCATAGATACTATATTGCATATTGTTATCCTCTAGAAGATCAGACTACCAGCTTTAGGCCTGCAAAGTTAATGAAACGCTAAAGAGTACAAGCTTTGAGTTGTATTTTACTTTCTCCGAATCAGCTGCTCCCTTAAAGTGTGTGCAAGGGACTTTGATTCTTCTTGTTTTCCAGCCTGTATGCTAGAAGGAGCTGGTGTCTGGTTCTCCCCGTGGCCTGCACATGGTACTGTGCACTGCACATGGACTCACAGAAAGTTGTTGGCTTCTTGTTTTCCTCCCTGTGGCCTGTGCATGGCATCTTACATGGGCTTCATTGGGCTAAAATCAAGGTGCTGTAGCTAGGAGTGGTACCTGCATGCTTGTAATCCCAGATCTCTGGATGTTGAGGCAGGAAGATTGCTGTGATTTCAAGGCCAACCTGGACTACATAAGTGAGTTCAAGGCCAGCCTGAACTGCATAGTGAGACTCTGTCTCAAACAAAACAAAAATCAAATCAAATCAACTGAAGGCATTGCCAGTGAACCTTCTTAGAGGATCCTCTGCCAGATCTGTTTCTTTGCCTTTAAACTCCAGCTTCCAGAGGCTCACACATTCCTTGACTAGTGGCCCTTTCCCTTCATCTTCAAATCTGACTACATGGCATCTGTCTGACATTTGTGCTGCCATGTCTTCCTGTGACCACAGCAAGAACTGGCTTTTAAGGGCTTGTGTGATCTGACTGAGCCAACCTAGGTCATCTAGGCTAATCTCTTATGTGAGTCTCCTTAACCAGAATTACATTTACGTCATGGATGCATATTTACAAATAGAGATATCTGCCCGCCACAGTAATTTAAGCAGATAGCATCTGGGGATTAGCTCAGCGGCATAAGCGCCTGCCTTGCAAGCAGGTGGTGGTGAGTTCGATCCCCGATACCGATAAAAAAGAAAAAGACGGGGGGGAAAAAAAAAAAGATAGCATCACCCCTTGGGAAAATGTTTTCTATATTCAGGAACACTGACTTCCTTTTTTATATCTTTTGAGACAGGGTCTTATTGTATTGTCCAGGCTGACCTTGAACTCATAGTTCTCCTGCCCCAGCCTCCCAAGTAGCTGCAACTACAGAGATTTACCACCTACTCAGTCTTCTTCCTCTTCCTCTCCTCCCCCTCCTTTCTCTTCTTCTCCTTCTCCATCTCTTCCTTCCTCCTCCTTTTTTTTTTTTTTTTTTTTTTTTTATTCTTTTTGAGCCAGGGTCTCACTATGCAGTTCAGGCTGGCCTTGAACTCATTGTGTAGCCCAGGCTGGCCTCCAACTCAATGTGGTTCTCCTGCCTCAGCCTCCTTATTGCTGGGATTACAGATGTGTGCCACCACACCCAGCTTGCCTTTTTTTTTGTGATATCTGAGATCGATCCAGGGAGCACTGACACACATTCCACCCCCCCCTTTTTTTTTGTCTTTTTCCTTTTTATCGGTACTGGTGATTGAACTCAGGACTGCCTGCTTGCAAGGCAGGCGCTTACGCCGCTGAGCTAAATCCCCAGCCCCTCCCCTTTTCATTGTTTTATTTTGAGAGTCTTGCTAAATTGTGCAGACTGGCCTTCAGTTTTTGCTTCGAATGCCCCTGCCTCCTGCGTTGCTGGGATTATAGGCTGTGCCACTGTGCCAGGCTCCTGCTTGCCTCTTAGTGTTTAGTCCTTTTTTCTTTTAAGAAATACAAGAATTGGGGCTGGAGATTTAGCTCAGTGGCGTAAGCGCCTGCCTTGCAAGCAGGCAGTTGTGAGTTCGATCCCTGGTACCGATAAAAAGGAAAAAGACAAAAAAAAAAAAAAAAAGAAATACAAGAATTGGAGAAGTGTTGTGCCAGATTTTTTTAGTACCATTTCTTACATTTCTTCTGCTTGATCTAACTGCTGGTAATCTATCTGCTGGTGAGTATTTGCTGTGTATCTTTTCTGACTTTTTTTGCCTTTTTAGACAGGGTCTCACTGTGCAGTTAAAGCTGGCCTTGAACTCGGTTTGTAGCCCAGGCTGGCCTCCAATTCACAGCTCCTCTTGCCTCAGCCTCCCGAGTGCTGGGATTACAAGTGTGCTGCACCACATCGAGCTCAGCAAGGAATTTTATTCGAATCAGTAAGGATATCAGAAACTGACCGTACAACTTGGGGACAGAGGTGGTGATTTTTTTACTATAAAATTTTAATTTTTACATGTACCTGACATCACAGCTTTATGTCAAAGAACCATATCTTCCACTTCCTTACTTAAGATTGGCAAAGCAATTTGAAAGTTGCTTTACTCATACAGGTTTTTAAAAGTTCCATTGGTGGCTAGGTATGGTAGTTTTCATTTATAATCCTAGCACTGAGGAGGCTGAAGCAGGCAGGTCACTGTGAGTTTAAGGCAGCCTCAACTACAGAGAGACCCTCTGTCAAAAAAAAAAAAGCAGGACCTATACTATGTAACAGTGGAATTTTTAAAAATTTAGTTTCATTTTTTTAAGGCAGGGTCTCTCTGCATAGTTTGGGCTGGCCTTGAACTTGTCATATAACCCTGGTTGGCCTTGAACTCATAGTAATCCTCCTGTCTCAGCCTTTCAGCTGCTAGAATTACAGGCATATGCACACCAGGCTGACAGGTCTTACACATCTCTACTGTGGTTTTGTAGAAAGAGATTACTTTCTTTTTTTGTTTTTGTGTTTTTTGAGACACTATGCAATTCAAGCTTAAATTCGCTTTGTAGCCCAGGCTTGCCTTGAACTCACACAGCAGTCCTGCCTCAGTCTCCTGAATGCTGGGATTACTGGTGTATGCCACCATGCCTGCGAGTTACTTTCTTACTGGGTGGAACAAGATAAATTTTTTTCTAGTTATGCTATACATGAAACAATGTAAAACAATGACTTATCCTAGGGCCAGTTATCCTTTTCACTAACTTTTCCAAAGAAATGGTATTTTTCTTGAGCAAAATCATAACCCACTTGGGTTTTACATTCTGCTTGTCCTTTCTGATCTGAGAAAGCAGAGAACCTTTCTTGTCATTTACTCAGCAATGGGCATCCCTCTTTTCTCTTGGTCTTACCTAAAATTCAAAAGAATTTGGTACACATCATTAGATATTTGCAGTTTTCCTCTTACAAATGAAACTTTATTCCTTACCTTACGATAATTTGCCTTGGTTAGAGTTCTGGTACTCTAACATATTTCCAGTTCACTTTTTGCTAAATTGAAAGCAGCTGCATTTTTTTGGCTGCCTTTGGGATAATCCTGCTACAGTTCGAAAGTAGATAAAATATTTGTTTAAAGAGGTATTTGTTCTTACCCTATGAAAATCAGGTCACGGGTTTTAATCACTGGAGGTTTATCCTGGGCTGTGTGAAGATTTAGCTGAGTTTTCCCTTTTGTATCTCTTGGTGCCTTTTGTGACTAAATGCCAACTCTGAGCCCTTAAGCATGTCAGAGTTAAGTGCATAGGGAATAACGAACAGTCTTAATAGTTCCTAAGAATTTTTGACATGACAGGATGAAAACAGTAACTGTAGTTTTTCAAATTCAGCAAAGCTTTTGAAATAGGACAAAGTTACCCTGCCAAAAAATCTGTAGTGTGTGCAAAAATTTGTTTGAAGATGCTCTTTTCAGAAAGCTGGAAAGACCTGAAATTGTAAGTGAAATAAAGCAAGCCTGCCAACTCTTGGACCTTTACCCCAGCACGGGCACTTGTTTATGAAGTGTGTAGTGCAGTCAGGTGGTACATGCCTGTAATCCCAGCACTCTGGACGGCTGGGGCAGGAGGATGTAGCCCAGCCTGGGCAATTTAGCAAGACCCTGTATCCAAAAAGGGTGGGGACTGGGATATACAGTAGCTCAGCGTGAGGACCCTGGGTAAATCCTCGCTCCACATCCCATGGTTTAGTGGGAATTAACTCCTGAGAAGGGGAATGGGAATCAGAATTTGTTATTTGGATTGGTTGGAGAAGACTTACTTCTCTTATGGAAGAGATTTCTCAAAAAAAGGAGTGGGGGGGAAGGAGGAAGAAGCAAGATACAGTACTTTTATGAAAGCCTGGAGGGGAAATGCACCTCCTCTGCGTACTCTTGCTCTTTCATCTTTGAACTTGGTATACTACTGAGAAGGAGTATCAGTACGTAATGGTATTTCTGACCTGGACCCTTTATGATGTGAAGACCCTAAATTAAAAGGTGAAAAGGGAAACACTGAGAATAAATTGGCCCATCCACAGCGTGCAAGGCCTAAATCTGAGGTCGTTTTAGACCATGTATTAAAATAAACATGAGGCTGGAGCTTGCCTAGCAGGCACAAGGCTGAGCTCACACCTCAGCGGTGCTACTTCATTAGTATAAAATAAGGCCACCACATTATGTTGGAATTTGCTTAAAACCGCATTGCTACATAGACCTTTAAAAGAAACGGGTAGTTGAGTGTGTTTTCAGTTTTGGGGTCCTTTTGAATGAGAGGGTACCATCCGGCTGGGAGTAGAGTTTTCATTTCAGTTCTTAGGCTGCAGGCTCCTGTAGCTGTATAGATTTTGAATGAATTATTCAGTGTTTAGTAAATGCTGAAGCTCTGAATGTGTCCCTTGTGCCTCCGTGAGATGTAGGACAGAGGCAGTGCCGTGGCTCGCGGTGTGGAGCAGTGACAAACATACTGCACCTCTCTAGCTCCAGTGTCACCCTCCTGTACCTGAGCTCTCCCCGTAGGTCTGGGGCTTGCCCTGGAGACAGGCTTCAAAGGGATGAGAAAAAGGAGAGCACATGCAAAGAACACTCCAGTCCCAAACAAGTGTTCATTCCTGATCGCTGCCTCAGGAGACACTTAGCTGGAAGGTGGTGTAGTTGAGCCACCAAGTCAAACCAGCCGGGTTTCTCCCTGCCCTTCAGCCTCCTTTCTGACGAGCCTTAGGGTCCATTGTGAGAATGTCTCTTTCTGTTCATAGTAGCCTTTGGATCCTGTTGCCTGGTTTCTTTTTTCTTGTTATTGTAGCCTTAAATCTAAGGACTTATGTATTTGTAGTAAAGACTTGGATACCAAAGAAATGTTAGTCAGAAGGCTGGGAGTGTCGTGGCTCAGTGGCACAGAATCTGTTTGGCATACCTGAGGCCCGGCGTTGGGTCTGAATAAAAACAAACAGGTCTGTAAGTAAATAAATAAATGGGAGGAGGGTGGCAGAAAACGTGAAGGAAATGGAGAGAGAATTATACCTGGAAATCAAGGTAAGATAATTATTGTGCTGCAGTGTTAAAATTTGGTGTTTTCTGTCACCAGGATACTATCTGAAATAAATTCTAAAAAGAAACACACTGGTTTATTGTAATTCTTATCTGAGAAAAAGCAGTATAGCCATTTTTTTAGAAGAAAAGTCTTTTGTTCTCAGCCCATGAAAAAATTTTTTGTAAATCTTAACGTAAAGAACAGAGTCAGAGACCGACAAACACCCGTAATTCCAACATTTGGGAAGCTGAGGCAGAAGGGTCACAAATTGAAGCCCAGCCAGGGCTTGGTAGTAAATTCAAGGCTACCTGGTGAGACCCTGCTTCAACCCCCGCCACCAATGTTGCTTCTCCGGCTGTGGTTGGTTATTGTCGTGGTTACTTTCTTGTTGCTGAGACACAATACCAGGTACCCACAAGTTAAAGAAGAGACTGATTTTGGTTCACAGTTGGTAACAGTTTCAGTTCATAGCTGGCTGGCTCCAAATGCAGGGTGGCATGGCAGAGGGACAGGGCTGAGGAGGCAGCAGGGAGAGAGATGAAGGAGAAGGGAGGAGGATGCACCCTTCTAGGCCCCCAGTCACCTGCCGCCTCTCTCCAGGCTTCGCCTCTCAACAGTGCACCACCTGTGAAAGCACAAGGCTTTGGGGTTGCCTATTGTAGTCCAGTTCACAACTGTTTTCCCTGGAATGGGCTCCTGGAAACAGAACTCTTTTTTTTTTTTTCAATTTTTTTTTTTAAACTTTTTATCGGTACTGGGGATTGAACTCACGACCACCTGCTTGCAAGGCAGGTACTTATGCCGTTAAGCTAAATCCCCAGCCCCTATAGAATCATGAGGCCCTTATGCACATTTCTTTTTTTTATATTTTTTTTTGAGACAGGGTCTCGCTATGCAGTTCAGGCTGACCTTGAGCTCACTTTGCAGCCCAGGCTGGTCTCCAACTTGCAACGATCCTCCTGCCTCAGCCTCCCGAGTGCTGGGATTACAGGCATGAGCCACCACGCCTGGCTTTTTTTATTTTTATTTTTTTATCAGTACCAGGAATTGACCTCACGACCGCCTGCTTGCAAGGCAGGTGCTTATGCCACTGAGCTAAATTCCCAGCCCGGAAACAGAATTCTTATGCCAGTGTTTTTGTTTTTATCAGTGCTTGTCTGCAGTATGTGATGATTACACTGCTCGAGGGGAGCTGGTACCTGTACACACCGCGGTCTCCATTCTTTTTTCCTCCCTTCCCCCGCCTTTGGAAGGCTTTTCGTAACTATTGCCTGGTTGCTCCTAAACCTGTGATGTCAGTGTGCATGCCTGCCATTGTGAAGAGCGCAGTGCGGTGTGCAAGTTGTGGAAGTAATGAAGAGAGCAGGCCCCAAGAGACGGGCCGCCCGGGTCTCTGCCAGTCACAACTCTCATCCCTTGGTGTTTTTCTCCCAGAAGTTGCTAACTGGAAGGATTTTACCCTAAATGAGACGCTGTAGTGTTGGGAGGTGCTGGGAGGCAAAAGGTCATCTTCCCCGCCCCTAAGCAATTATCTGTGGTGCAAAATGAATTCCAACGGGCTACCTGTGCATCAGTAATGCCCGTTAGGCACCACCCCAAACCTAAGCTATATGGATGCCCCCACTCCACGTGTCCGGCAGAGAAGAAGTCAGACCCCGGAGGTCATGGAGTCTCTCTCTGCATTCTTAAAATAAAGGCTACTTTTATCTCATTTCTATCTTTTTAGCCACGCTAAAAATTCTGTCACTAATAAATAGATACGGATAAGTAATAGTTTGACACTGGGGGGCTTTTCCTGCGTTTTCCAGTTTTGTACAATGAACATTTATGAATTTTGAGACTAGGAGGATAATTAGATGTTATTAGGAAAAATCCATGACTTTGTTTTTATTAACCGTGTTTCAAAATATAATAGCTTTCTTAGCTTCAGGAGTTCTAAGAGTCTGATGTTTTTTCTCTTGCAGTGACATTACGGGGGGCAAACCCCTGGAAGTGGAGATGGCAGGGATAGAGTACATGAACGATGACCCCGGGATGGTGGACGTGCTTTACGCCAAAGTCCACATGAAAGATGGTTCCAACAGGTATATTTCTGGATGCCTCTTTGTCTCATTGGGAGGTACTTAAAAGTATCCTGGAATTCATTTTGATGCTTCTTTTTAGGATCTTACTATTTTTTTTTAATTTTTATTTAAAGAAAGATTAAAACAGAAAATAGGTAGAAATAGTACATACGTTCAGAGGAAAAAAAAACAGTAAGAAATCACTAGTTGATGTTGTCATTTTACAAATAGTTGTTCAAGGTACAAAAACGGAACATATAAAGTGGGAATTCAAACAGCGACTGCAAAAAGTTCTAATCAACTGTCCAGCAAAAACTTAGTAACATGGTTGTCAATCCTATACATTTAAACATACATGCAGTTATCCATATCTTCATTTATGTTTAGATTAAACAAACTAAAGCAGGTTAAAATTAATCTAAACAAAGAATAATAGTATTGCTGGATTTCACATCATGACACTCCGTGATCAGCACTGGGTAGTGTAGTGTCTGCTTTTTAAAACTGAATTTAAAGAAAGACTAAAAAAACAGAAAACGGATAGAAATTATACATAATTTCAAAGAAAAAAATAAACAGAAATCACTAGTTGATGACTATAGATTGTCTTCTTACAAATAGTTATTCAAGATACTAAAGTGGAGCATATAAGTGGGGATTCAAACAGTGAGATTGCAACCAGTTCTGTTCAACTATCGAACAAAAACTTAGAAATATGGTTATCAATCCTATACACTTAAACATATGCAGTTACTCATATCTTCAATTATGTTGACTTTGAATAAACCCAAGCAGGTTAATATCACTCTGAACAAAGAATAACACTATTGCTGGGTTTTACATTATGACACTCCAGGATCAGCACTGGCTATTTTAGTGTCTCCTTTTCTTCAAAGTATCTTTTTTTTGTGTGTGTGTTTGGTTTTTTTGTCTTTTTCATTTTTATCGGTACCAGGGATGGAACTCACGACTGCCTGCTTGCAAGACAGGCGTTTATGCCGCTGAGCTAAATTCCCAGCCCCCAAAGTATCTTTTGTTATAAGATCAGTTCTCATAAACTGTTTATAGATGACCGGCGCAGCCCCCCAATGAGACAGAGGACGCTCTTGTGGGTAACAGGTAACTGCCGCTTTATTGTTGTGGGCTCTGGCTTATATATTCGGCCGTGACCAATCACAGGCTGCCATGAGCTGCTCACGAGGAGGCAGGGCTGGAATGGGACGCGGGCTCTGGTTAATATACCCAGCTGTGGCCAATCAGGGGTTGCCACAGAGTCAGCACGGGGCGAATACGGAGTGAGCACGGAGTGGCTAATTTGGAGAGGAACGTAGCACATTGCGGAAGCTGACGTGGTCCTTAGTCCCGGGTGGGGTATGGTATGTTGAGCGCCTGCGCCAAACATATAGATTCTACACATGCATGAGTCTTAACATGTTTTTTTTTGTTTTGTTTTGTTTTGTTTTTTTTTTGATTTTGAAAGTAGTAAAAATGCAACAGCACAAGACAGAGACAAAGCCAATCGAGACAATGCAGTGAAACTGGTATGGGATTTCACAGTAGGATACTGGGAAGTAGTAATAAGTACTATGGTATATCTCTTTAACTTCACAATAGCTGTCCAGTCAATTACGTATTGTAAAATCAAACCAAAAATACTGAATAGAGCAAAAGAAACATAACAAAACAGTAAAAACAACCTATGCCTTCAAACAGAAGATAGAAGGAAATCCCCCATATTTGCTGTACTGCATATGGTCATCTTCCCAAGAGATGTTGAAACATCTATCCCCAGTAGCTAAGGGGGGAGGGGGGAGAAGGGTGCTTGATTTTCAGCTCGAGTGGCAGTAGGCTCACAGGTAATGGTGTTCTCCGGGCCCAAGCTGCAGGTGCTTACCAAGAGGGCGGGCGAATATGCGCCTGAGTCCCTCCATGGCCGGATCTCTGGAGCTCTGTTCTCCTCCTGGCCTGCATTGCAGACGCTTACCAAGAGGGTGGGGGAATCGGATCTTACTATTTTTAAGTGTGTGTCTGTTCTATCCTTTCTTTTTCCTCACAATAGACTAGTATGTTGAAAGAGGAATTTGTTATAGGTGAAACTTACCAGATTTTTAGTTTGAGAATGATTAAGTTACTTGGATAGTGAATATTGTTAGAGGCAGCCAAGTTTCTGTGGAGTTGGTCTTTTGTATTTTCCCAGATAATAAGAGGAAGGATGGCCTCTTAGGGTGAGAGGGATGTCTTACCAGAGAGCTTTTGTTTTTATGGGTTATATCTGTCAATATTTACCATATTAGATATTAAAACTGGGAAATATAATCTCTTAATCCTTTTTTTTTTTGATATTAGATCTTCCTCTGTAATTCAGATTAGACTTGAATTTGCTATTTAGCCCAGGCTGGCCTTGAATTTGTGGTGATCCTCCTGCCTCAGCCTCCTGAGTGCTGGGATTACAAGTGTGTGCCACCATGTCCAGCACCTCTTAATGCCTTTAAAAAAATACTGATAAAATAATTTCTTGTTTTTATAAATAATATATTTCCCATAGATATCACTGTATCATTCAAGCCAAATGAATGCGGTGGATAAGCATGGTTTTACATTTTTATAACTTTAATAGAAGAAAATTGGGTCTTTATATCTGTGTCTGCACTCAGTCTATCACAGTGCATTATTTTGACTAGAAAAAAAAACTCATATCTATAAACAGTGTGAGTGGGAGTATAGCTCAGTAGCAGAGCACTTGCCTGGCACATATGAGACGATAGATCACACATGAAGACTCACACAGATCTGTGGTTAGAAAGGTGAGGCATAAGTTAATAGTCTTTACAGATAATTGTGGCCGATGCATACTGCTCTAAAACTTGAAAAGTCATAGTTTCTTAAAGATTGTCGGTGTCACTCCCGGCCGGCAGGAAGGACACACAACAAAGTCTGGCAGTGGACAACCTTTTCTTTTACTTTCCTTCTCCGTACAGCCTGCCCCGGGAATCCTCCCGGCCGAAGCCTCTGTTGGTCCGCTCCCCGCGGCTCCTTGCGTGCTTCTCCCTACAGTCTGTCCCGAAGCCTCTACCGGTCCGCTCTCCGCGGCTCCTTGCGTGCTTCTTCTGCTTCTTTTGCTTCTTTTTTCGTGGCGGGAGAGGCACTCACTTTTATAGGGTTACAGTGGCCAATCAGTTCAAAGCGCGCGATGCGGGCTGATTGGCTAACATCAGTTGTTGCTAGGCAGACTATCTTACAGGGCGGGTTGTGAAGCAGGAGATCTTACAGGGCGGGTTGTTTACCAAGCAGGAAGCAGGAGATCTTACAGGGCGGGTTGTTTACCAAGCAGGAAGCAGGAGATAAGCGCCATCTTAGCACACTCGATGGGAGGGGTAATCTAGCTCAGGCTTTGCTCTTTCCTACAGGCCTCACGTCCGCCAAGTAAGGCGACCGGGCTCGGCCGCGGCTCCCAACAAAAGATTAGTTGCAATGTGGAATCTGAAGCTATATCAGCGAACATTTTATATGTTAGCATTAAAATCTTTTGATCTTTCTTGCATTTTTCCAGCATGTGTAACCCATGCACAATTTTGCAACAGTGTCCTTTGAGTCACACAAATATTCTAAATGTTGACCCATTTCATTGCATAGTAATGAAGAATCTTTAAAATAACGTGAGCGCCAGGTATAAAGCTCAACGATACAGCATCTTCCTGGCAAGTATGAAGTTGTGGGTTCAATCTATAGTACCAAAAAAAAAAAAAAAAAGTCTGGGAAACTGTCAAACTCATATTGACAGATAAACATTTTCCAAAATTCTATTTTTCACCTGAAAGTGTCAATTTTATTATTGATAGAAAATATTACCTTTGAAGCTCTTATTCTTGTCTACCACACAGCCAAGTCTGGGTCCCCATAATTTGTCTGTCTTTCAAGTAAAAATGGTACTCCATGGACCAAACAGGTGGAACTCACAATTCAGATAGCTTACATGTTCTTAGGTGTACACACAAATGCTTTGTGCATACAGCCAAAGTATTAAAAGCAGGTACACTTAAGGGAAGAAATGTAATAGTTTGCTGCTTCATCAGAGAAATAAAACTGAACTTTTAAAACTCTAAATGCAGGTCTGGGGATGTGGCTGGGTGCAGAGTGCATGCTTAGCATGCATGAGGCCCTGGGTTTGATCCCCAGCACCACTGAAAAATAGATGAAATAAAACCCATGTTGTACAGAATATATGTATGCAATTTAAAAAGCTCTGATTGTGTAGTGAAAAATCTACTAATACAGCTGATGCCACTGCAGTAATTCATGCTATGGTGCCTGTAGTTTCTCCCACCATTATTTTTACACCATGAGTATGAATGTCATTGCAGTGAAAAAGGCAAATAATGTTCCGTGTGTATTGTCATCATTATTATGTTGATTTCCTAAGGGTTCAGTCTAGGGCCTTGTGCATGCTGAGCATGCGCTCCACCGCTGTGACGCTGTCTTAGCCACCTTCCTGTTGCTGGAACAAAATACCTGCCACCTGCAATTCAAAGGTAGCGAGGTGTCTGTTGGCTTGGTTTCTGGTCATAGGTTGCCAAGTACAAGACAGAAATGGGTCAGAGCGAGGCATGGTGAAGGCAAAGGTGCTCAGCTTGTGGATCACAGGAAGCAGAAAGAGATGGAGGTAACCAGGCCCAGTGCACAGCCTCAAGGGTCAGCCTGAATTCACCAGTGGATGAATCCGCTGTTGAGTACAGTGTCCCTGTGATTCTGTAACCTCGACACACTCGAGATTTTGGGAGGATGTTTTAGATCTAAACCATAATAGTTATAGCACCTAGTATTTTGAAATACTTTGACCTCATGGATCCCCTGAAAGAGTTTTGGGGCCTTCAAATGTCCATAGACAACACTGAGAGCTTCGAGTCCAAATGAGATTTTGCTTTTTTGTGGGGAGGTTGAGACAGGATCTAGCTATGTAGTTCTGACTGGCCTTGAGCTTGCTGTGTAGCTCAGGCTGCCCCCAGCTCATGGCAATCATTCTG